GGTCAGGGCACATACATGCCCAGGTTGTGGGCTGAATCCCCAGTGGGGGGAATGCAGGAGGCACCTGATCAAGGTTTCTATCTCTCTCTCCCTCTCCCTTCTTCTCTCTCTAAAATCAATAAAGAAAAAAAAATTAAAAAATAAACAAACAAAAAAAAAGGGCAAAGTACCTGAACAAACACTTCTCCCAAGAAGACAACATACAGATCAATGGCCAACAGATATATTGAAAAGATACTCGAGGACTTCCGGTCAAGATGGAGGCACAGGTAAACACGGTATCGCGTCCTCCCACAACCACATCAAAGTTACAACTAAACTACAGAACAACCATCATCCAAAACCGCCTGAAATCAAGCTGAATGGAAGTCCTACAACTATGAAAATTAAAGCAGCAGCCGCATCCAGACTGGTAGGAGGGGCAGAGGCACGAGGGGCGGGGCAGCGGCGGGACAGGCTGGTCCCACACCCAAGTGTGGCGGATAAAAATTAGGAGGCTCCCGCCCTGGCCGGTTTGGCTCAGCGGTTACAGCGTCGACGTGCGGTCCAGAGAGACCCAGGCTCGGTTCCCGCTAAGGGCATGTACCTCGGTTACAGTTTGTCCCCGGCCCTAGTTGGTTGTGCGGGTGGCAACCACTCAATGTGTCCCTTTCACATCGATGTTTCTCTCTCTCTCTCTCTGTTCCTCTCTCTCCCTCCCACTCTACCTGAACAAAAAAATGGAAAAATGTCCTCAGTGAGGATGATTAAAAAAAAAAAAAAAAAAAAATTAGGAGGCTCCCTCTGCTGGGAAGGTCCTTCCTGAGGACTGAGGGGTCTCCGTCCCACACCAGGTGCCCCGCTCAGGGTTCCAGTGACAGGAAGAGAATCCCCATAACTTCTGGCTGGAAAAACCAGCAGGAACTGAGGCTCAGGGAAGCTGATGCGGCTGGAGCCCCAGGCAGCTCCCTAAAGGGCCCGCGCATGAACTTATGGGACTCTCTCCCTCTAAGCTTGGAGGGGAGGCAGCTTCACAGGCGCCAGAGACATACAGGGAAGAACTGAGCTGTTTGGCACTGGAGCGAGGGCTGGAGAGGGGGCTTTCTCAGGGACAAACGTGCTGTCAGAGGTCTTTGTTCCTTTAGTAAGCCCTTCCCAGGGGGCGGCAGACAGTCTCCATATCTGAGACTCCAGCAACCTGGCTCACACTGGTAACCCCGCCCTGCTGACTCCCTGAGGCCCCGCCCCACCCCACACAACTTTCAAGCCCACCCAAGCTGTTGCCACTTGCTTAACCATAGGATTGGCTGGTCTCGGATCTTGCTTCAGGTTTTTCCTAAATTCTTTCAAACAAGCAGTATCAGGTCTCAGTGAGCCCCATACCTCTCATTAAGTAATACACTGAAACAAACAGGGAGGCAGCCAAAATGAGGAGACAAAGAAACAGGTCCCAAATGAAAGAACAGAACAAAACCCCAAGAAAAGAACTAAGCGAAATGGAGATAAGCAACCTAACAGATACTGAGTTCAAAATACTGCTTATAAGGATGCTCAATGAACTTAGTGAGAACCTCAGTGAACTTAGGGAGGGCCTCAAGAGCATAAAAAAGGACCAGTTAGAAATCATGGATACACAGAATTGAAGGAGGCATTAACTGAAATAAAGAATAATTTACACAGCTTCAATAATAGAGTACGTAAATCCAAGGAGCAAACCATCGATTTGGAATTTAAGGAAGCAAAAAATGCCCAATCAGAACAGCAAAAAGAAAAAAGAATCCAAAAAAATGAGGATAGTGTAAGGAGCCTCTGGGACAACTTCAAGCGTGCCAACATTCGCATCTTGGGGGTGCCAGAAGGAGAAGAGCGAAAACAAAATATTGAAAACCTGTTTGAAACAATAATGGCAGAAAACTTTCCTAACTTGGTGAAGGAAACAGACATACAAGTCCAGGAAGCACAGAGACTCCCAAACAAGATGAACCCCAAGAGGCCCACACCAAGACACATCATCATCAAAATGCAAAAGGTTCAAGACAAAGAATCTTAAAAGCAGCAAGAGAAAGGCAGCTAGTTACCTACAAGGGAGTTCCCATAAGGCTATCAGCTCATTTCTCAAAAGAAACTTTGCAGGCCAGAAGGGAGTGGCAAGAAATATTCAGAGTGATGAAAAGCAAGAACCTACAACCAAAATTACTCTATCCTGCAAAGCTGTCATTTAGAATCGATGGCCATATAAAAACTTTCCCAGACAAGAAAAAGTTAAAGGAGTTCATCACTACCAAACCGTTATTATATGAAATGATGAAGGGTCTCTTTGAAGAAAAAGATAAAATGTATGAATAAACAAAATGGCAATGAATACATATCTATCAACAATGGAGCCCTGGCCGGTTTGGATCAGCGGTTAGAGCGTTGGCCTGCGGTCCAGAGAGACCCGGGTTTGGTTCCCGCTAAGGGCATGTACCTTGGTTGCAGTTTGTCCCCGGCCCTGGTTGGGTTGTGTGGATGGCAGCCACTCGATGTGTCCCTTTCACATCGATGTTTCTCTCTCTCTCTCCTCCTCCTCCCACTCTATCTGAACAACAAATGGAAAAATGTCCTCGGGTGAGGATTAAAAAAAAACAAAAAAACAAAAAAAACCCACAATGAAATCTACAAACAAAATGAACAGGTAGAACAGAAACATTCTCATAGATACAGATAACATTTTGTTGGTTGCCAGTTGGGAGGGGTGTTGGGGGAATGGGTGAAAAAGGTGAAGGGATTAAGAAGCACAAATTCATTGCTAGACTGACAAACCTCAAAGGGAAAGGGGTTGCGGGGGTGGGAAGAAATAAACCAAAGAACTTATATGCATAACCAATGGACACAGACAATAGTGTGGGAAAAGGTGGGAGCAGGGCGGGAGTGGGGAGGAGGGGGTCAATGGGGAAAAAATGTGGAACATCTGTAATACATTCTACATTCAACAATAAAGATTTAAAAAAAAAAAAAGATACTCAACTTCACTAGCTATTAGGGAAATGCAAATAAAAACTACCATAAATATCACCTCACACCTGTTAGAATGACTATTATCAATAAGACAAGTTATAACAATTGTTGGAGAGGTTGTAAAGGAAAAGGAACCCTCATTTACTGCTGGTGGGAATGTAAACTATGAAAAACAGTATGGAGGTTCCTCAAAAATTTAAGAATAGAGTTACCATATGACCCAGCAACCCCTCTTCTGGGTCTACTTGAAAAATTTGAGAACATTTATTTGCAAAGATAAGTGCACTCCTGTGTTCATTGAAGCACTATTCATGATGGCCAAGGCATGGAAACTACTGATGTGTCCTTCGATAGATGATTAGATAAAATAAGCTATGGTACACATATACAATAGAATACTACTCAGCCATAAAAAAGATGAAATACTGCCATTTGTGACAACATGGGTGGATCTTGAGAATGTCAAACTAAGAGAAATAGGTCAAACAGAAAAAGTGAAGAACCATTTGATTTCACTCATGTAGGATATAAAAGTGAAAGTTATAAATAAACAAGGTAAACTAATAAAAACTCATAGACACAGAAAAAAGTATGGTGGTTACCAGAGGGAAGTGGGGAAAAGGGGTAGTAAGGGTAAAGAGAGTCAAATATATGGTGATGCAAGAAGATTTGACTTTGGGTGATGGGTACACAGTGAAATATACAGATGATGTATCATAGAATTGTACACTTGAAACCCATATAATTTTATTAACCAATGTCACTACAATAAAGTTAATTTTAAAAAGTATGCATACACACACAAAGAAAACTAAAACTAATTTTACTTATGAACACAGATATAAAAATGATCTACTAGTAAAGTAAATACTCCAGGATAGTAAAAAATATATTATGGCCAAGTGTAAGTGTGTGTGTGTGTGTATCATTTGCCAAATTGCAAAGCCTTGAGAACAGTCTTTTGAATTCCTGTTTCCAAAACATTGGCATGTAGTACCAACTCAATGAATAAATGTATTTTAAATTTATGATGGTTCTACCATAACTGAATTTCTCCTTATAATCTTGTGATCATTTTATTTTATTTTATTTTTTTTATCCTCAGCCGAGGACATTTTTTGATATTTTGTTCAGATAGAGTGGGAGGGACGGAGGAAGGGAGGGAGGGAGGGTGAGAGAGAAAGAGAGAAACATCCACGTGAAAGGGACACATTGAGCGGTTGCCACCCACATGACCCAGTCAGGGCTGGGGACAAACTGCAACCGAGGTACATGCTCTTAGCGGGAACCAAACATAGGTCTCTCCAGACCGCAGGCCGATGCTCTAACAGCTGAGCCAAACCGGCCAGGGCTGATCTTTTATTTTTATGGGAAAAATAATCTACATAAAACAATGATGATGTAGTAAAAATTAAAGCATCTAGCATAATCTTATATTCCTTTAGGGGAATAATATTTGAAAAATAACAGAAATCAACATCAACAGGCAGAACTAAGTTGAAATATCACTGGAAAGTGTGCTGAGAAGTGATAAAGATTCTGCAGGTATATGAAAATGCTTTAATCCCCAAAGATTTTTTTCACCTAGACACTGATTATTAATTAATCTCTGCCTCTAAATCAAATTACATGTTACACAGCCAAGACTACCCTTAATTAAAAATGAGTCAATCTAACTGTCAGCATGGGAGTTTGGCTACTATATTAGATCTCTGGAGCCCTGTTGCTAATCTGAGTGAGTAAATTAAATACTACTTCTACTTGCTCCTAAAAGTCTGGTTGATCAACTGTTTGCATTGTGAGGAGAGCAGGGATCAAAAGCTTCAGCTCTGTTCATTAATAAGTGTTGATGAGTCAAATGGTGGATGATGAGAAAACAGAATGGATAATTTACAAAATGGAAACTAACTCTGCAAATTACTGTAGATTTGAACAAAGTAAGAAGTGCATACAAAATCTACTATTTAAGGTATGACAAAATAACATATTGAGGCTGTATTCAAGATATCTTGATCTTGGCTTACCTTACAGTACTTGGCTTACTTGTGAGGACATCGGGAACTTCATACCTGGGCTTCAGAGGAGTCTCTTCAGTGATTTTAAGCCTGAAAATATTTCCCTCTATACCAAAAACTTCAGCCAAAAGAGGAACCTGGGTACAGACATATGACATGAGTTTCCATAGGTTACCCCAGTGATGGTCAGTTCTAGTTACTGCAATAGCCAAAAACTATTGTCAAATGACAATAATTAGAAAACTATGTCTAAATCATTACAGGCCAAGAAAACTGGAGAATAATGGCAGTCATGGAGAAAAAAGCCCCCCAATCTATGTATGTACTTGCTTGGATATCTGTGGTAGAGACAAGAAACACCTTCTATATGTTCTATGGCTAGGCAAACATGTAATTGTCTGGACCAGGGCCTTTAAGAACTAAAGGGTCTCTGTTAATAATTATATTGGATTATAGGCATAAACTGAAATAGCTCTTGCAAAATTGGGACATATGACCACTGTACCTCTGACAAACTACAGTTGTCTAGAGAATAATAGTTTGATATTAAAACTAGAGTTAACTGGATTCCCAGCTGAATGAAAGATGAAGGGAAACAAGACATAGAATAGAATAGAATAGAATAGAATAGAATAGAATAGAATAGAATAGAAAATAGAATAGAGTAAAACGGTCATCATTGTGGTTCTCGGGACCGCAAGCCGATGCTCTAACAGCTGAGCCAAACCAGCCAGGGCTGGGGTTCTCTAGAGTATAGGTAAATGAGGTTCGTTGCACTAAAATCAAAGTACTTCCTGTACACCTGGGCATATGGCCTTGGGAATTTTCTCAAGAGTCTGAGACATTCTCAGCTTTCTTAGGAGCCTTGGGAATTTAGGTAAAATTCTGCTTACAATAGGAGATGGAAACAACACAGAATTGTAAAGAGAATACAGAATTTGAAACACAAAACAACAAAACCTAGTGAGTAAAAGGGGCTGAATTAAGGTTATAAAGTGAGGCATTTAGATTGGAGACATATTTTAAGACTGTGGTTTTCAGCTGTGTGCCGTGACACACTGGTGGACTGCAAATCCAAGTGTGATGCCACATTCTGGTTATAACTAGGGACATCTATTGTTACTATGTCTATTAATTGAAAGGCTAAGCTGGGTAGGCTGTGTGACATAGCACTGAGCAGGTACAACGTGGGACAAGTAAGAGATAGAAAGTAGGAGAATACCAAAGTGGTACCAAAAAAACCTCACTTTGAAGAATATAGAAAAATAGTTAGGGCCCTTCAACAGTAACATGACACTGAAGAGTAACCAGATAAATAGGGCAATGGCTGTGGCTGCTTTAACAGGCATTTTTAAGACAGAGTTATGTTGTACTAGTAATCATATTATAATTATTTTCCCCAGATTTATTGAAATGTAATTGGTATATAACACTGTGTAAGTTTTAGGTGTACAATGTGTTGATCTGATATGCTTATATACTGCAAAATAATTACTGCCATAGTCTTAGTTAACACCTGCATCATGTCTCATAATTATCATTTCCTTTCTGTGGTGAGAACATCTAAGATCTACTCTTTTAGCAACTTTTAAGTACGTAAGAGAGTATTATTAACTATAACTACTATACTGTACATTAGATCTCCAGAAGTTAATTCATCTTATGACTAGAAATCTGTAGTCTTGGACCAACATCTCTCCTTTTCTCCCGCTCCAATCATACTATAATTATTGCTTACATGTTTAAAGTTCTATTGTAGATTTGAATTAGTATGTTGTCAGATTCTAAATTTGAAAATGTGACTAGCTCTGGCTGGTGTGGTTCAGTTGACTGAGCATTGTTCCATGCACCAAAAGGTCGCCAGTTTGACTCCCAGTCAGGGCACATGCCCAGGTTGCAGGCTAGATCCCCAGTAGGGGGCATGCGGGAGGCAGCTGATCAATGTTTTGCTCTCACATCAATGTTTCTTTCTCTCTCTCTTTCCCCCTCTCCCTTCCTCTTTCTCTAAACTATCAACAACAAAAAAAACACAAAAAAGAAAATGTATCTAAAGCTAAAATCCTGTTAGATTACATATTTGCTCCCAAATTAGACATATATTTCCATTGAATTGAATTTCTCTCAAATTCAATTCAGCTAACTTTTATTTGGCATCTAATACTGTGTTGTGCTGTTTGTTGTGAAAAGGATGGCTATAGTCCTAGGGAGATTGCAATTTACAGACAAAATGTACATAGTAAACATAAAGAACTAGCGATGGAAGAACAAGGACAGTGCTGTGGGAGAACAAGGAAGGGGAGTATTAATGATGACTATAAGCAGAGGGATTCTGGGACATCTCTAGAGGAAGAGGGTCTTGAGCAGGGCCTTCAGGGACTTTGGGTAGGCAAAAATGGGCAAAAAAAAAAAAATGCTAAGCACAGGGTATATGGGTTGTTTGTCTACATATGATTAACAAATTGCATTTGTTTATGTACTAGGAGATCCTTCCAGTTTTAGTAAAATAGCTTTTTTTTTTTTTTTTTAATTGCTTTTTAAAACCAAAGACTGGTCTGTATGTTTTGTTCTTCAGGCTGCATCTAAAGAAAAAATCCTAAATTATATGAGAGGAAGTGGTAATAACCCTGCTTTTAAAGTAATGACCTTATGCAACCAAACATACAAAGCAGAGTCAAAGCCCCATTCTGTTGTCATTTTAACTTAATAAAGCAAGCCAACTGTTCCAATTAGGTAACCCTTTTCAAGGTCAGTATCTAGATTCATTCTTATCTCTAATCACCAACATAGCTTCGTGTTCCAAGCAGATCATTTCCTTAGACCTTAGTATCCTATGACCTGGCTCATGCTATTTTTGGTGGCTTAAAAAAAATTTTTTTTAACAGCAGTGGACTCTCAGAAGTCCAATAAGTAAAGCTACTCAGGTTGAAGATAGTGGGGAGTAACTCACAGCCCCCTAGTTTTAAGCCCCCTCCCCTCCCTGCATGGAGCCCTGCAACACCTCCATGGAATCCTCAGGGCTCTGTGGATGACAGTTTATAAACCACTTCCCTGTGCTTCTTAACTGCCAGTTATTACCCAATTCTTCCACCAAAACTTTGCTCTGTCAAAAAGTCTGCACATGAATGTTATGTTCTTCTATCTAAAACAATATACAAATAAATGATCCATTCTCTTCCCATTAGTGATGACTAGGAATGACAATGAAAAAAATATGTTAAGAAGATAAGTTAAGGAATTTATATCACTTACACTAAAAATTATTTATGTTAATACTTAGATAATACACTCAAATTGCTGCAAGAGGATTCACGTAAAATAAGTGAAGAAACACACAACTAAAATTTTTAAATCACATGGGACAGCATGGGCTTTACTCCCTAAAAATTTAAGAAGTGTAAATGTTCACCTACACAGAGAAGATGAGCTAAATCCTCAGAGAAAGGAATACATTTTGGAGGTTCATTTTAGTACAAGTCTCTACTTGGTTTTCTATGAACCTTTATTCAGAGGCTTACCTCTCATAGTCTGGGAAAGAATATTAATTTCCTTTTCGTATCTTATTTCTCCCATACTCAGTACAAACTTGGTAGTTTGACATTCATAAGTCTAGATGTTTTGGCCACATGGGCAAAAATATCAGACAGGTTGTAAAAATCATAGTGGTAGAAACAGCCTTATCTATATAGTCAAGTAGTGGCTTGATCACAATTATATGAAAACTTTGTGTTCACCCAGAACTGGGAATCCTAACTAGTAGAGACTGTGACTGAGATAACAAATGGTCCTAAAACACACATTTAAATGGCAGTGGGTATTAAGAAGGGAAATTATGACCCCATCAAGTTCTCCTTGATGGATAGAGTTCTTGTTTTTTTCCTCTGGCACCAGGTCTCTCTACTACACTATAAGGAACAGTTAATCTAGAAGAGTGAGCAATAATCTCTCTCAGCTGTTGATCAAGACCTCCCAGGATTCACAGAAAGGTCTAAGATTTCACTAAATTGCTGTAGGGCACCAACTGCCCCTTCCACAGTTGCAGCCAGTTGGTTTATTGCAAGCACTGATTCTCTACGGAGAATATTAGCAAGTTCACACCAGGGCTAATGCCCACTCCCCAAGTACAATTAGCCTGTCCAGGTGTGCTTCTGATTGTTTGGCCAGTTTCCAAATTAGCTGCCTGTTCTGGATATTTCTGCAGAAACATTATTGGTTAACAAACGGTAGTTGTCCCTCATTTGCTGAGGAGGTGGCTGGTTGGGCAAAGTCCCATTTCTGTAAGGTTTAGATGAAGAGGCAAGGGGTAACCTCCTGGAGAAGCTGCTAGAAGTGTTGTCTCTGTTGAAAACTTGCAAACAGGCTGCAAAGAAAGTAAACATATCGTGAGAATGCATCAAAGTTAGCAATATGAAGTAGGTCAAAGACAGGTTTGTGGCTTTTTAGCTAGATTCAAAAAATAGCAAACATTTTCCTGCTCTGATGTCGTACGACTAGATCTTCTGTGTTTTTAAATCCAGGTCAAATTTTCACTGAAGGTAAAAAGATTGATAGCAGCAGCAGCAGCAAAAACAGTTCTAAAAAAGCAGACAACACTTTACTGATAACTCCTTTCTCTTTAGATTTTCTTCTGGAAGTTTCTTTATCAATATCTACCTTATTATTCTGTCATCAGAAATAGGTAAGATACTACATTGGCACCCTATTGAGAAAACTTTTGCATTTGAATCTGCAACCAACTCTTCTTCAAAGTGTAGATGTCCAGAGTAGGATTGGGAGACAACACACAGGGCAACACTTCAGTTCGTACTATAAAATTACTGGGTCTCATGAACATCATGTTTGCTATGGACTGAATTGTGTCCACCCCCCAATTCACATGTTGAAGCTCTAGCCCTCAGTGTGATTGTATTTGGAGATGGGGTCTTTGGGAGGTGATTAGGTTCAGATGAGGTCATAATGGGATTAGTGCCCTTACAAGAAGAGACCAGAAAGGTTCAGATGAGGTCATAATGGGATTAGTGCCCTTACAAGAAGAGACCAGAAAGTAAGTGTTCTCTCTGCCATGTAAATATACAGTAAGAAGGCAATCTGTAAGCCAGGAATAGGGTCCTGGACAGACCCTAGATTTTGGACTTCCAGACTCCACAACTGTGAGAAATAGATTTCTGTTCTTTAAGATATCTAGTCTATGGTATTTTATATGGCTGCCAGAGCTAAGACCATGTTGAATGAAGCATGGTTCTGTTTCCTGGATGCTTAATAGGAGGCTGATTGGAGGTAGGGGAATGGGAAGAGGATTGGGAAGGATTTCAAAAATTAACAACAGATTTTGCTAATAAAGTTATTGCTTTAAGTGTTTTTAAGGGTATGGGGGAGGCAGGCATGAAGAGTGCTGGGTTTGTCAGAATCTGCCTCATCAGTGAAATCTGAGAACTGTAGCTGTGAGCTGAAAAGGATCCTCTTAGACTTTGGCTCTGTCTCTCTGAACCTGAAATAAAAAACTGTTATTCTGAATAAGTGGATGTATGCAGCTTGTTTTAAATCTCCAGACCACACCCATACTATAACCTAATGTGCAATCACCATGAAACACCTATCTCATCTCCAAAATAACCTCTAACAGAGGTTCCTTGACCATGCAGTGAGTGGGATACAAGGTTCAGACAACTTTAAAAAATCGTGTCTGGATCTTTTTGGTCCCTATCAAACTGACAGAGGGCATAACATCTTAAATCCCTATTAGTCATCTCAGCTCCAGGTGACTATGAGGCCATTAAAATGGAGCTCAGCTCAGAATTTCAGGGTGACCTCCCCAAAAGTATACATTTGCATGCATTTGCTTGAGATCAGAGCATGTGGCTTCCTAGGAAGCCCTGATATTTCCAATACCTGAAAATGAAGTCTGTTCCAAGGGTCCTCAAAGTTCTCAGTCTTGTGAGCCATGTTGCTGACATCCTGGATAACTTGTCCTTGCTTGCTGAGCTCCTCAGTTTGACCCTTCTGAGCCATGTGTTGTCTTGTGCTGAGATCCTGTGGGTTTTCCTGGACTGTGGTTTCTTTTCCATTAAAGGCATCATCCAGATCTGGTGGGTTCTGGGTCTGGCATCTGATCTGAACAGCATTATCCCTCACATTTGCAGGATCCAAAGACAGGTGTGTGTGGAGAAACTGATCCATAGTCTTATTATAAAAGGCCATATGTGGGGCTCTACCATTAATTGCACTGGTATCAAGCCGTACTGAGAGTTTGCATTTTGGCCCACACTGGTATTCAGGGTGCTTTTGCCTCAGCATGTGTCATCATGACACTGACTGTTCCAGTGGTACTCCATATACTAAGCCTCCCCAAGGATGGAAAGGAATGACAGCTACAACTCTCTAGGGTTAGACACATTGGAGAGAGGACAGCAAATGAATAAATGACAGGAAAAATGAGACAGGAAAGGTACCTGACATTTGGTAGCAGGCCTAATGACTCCTGGAAGGTCTCTGGTGGACTCTTTGCATTTCCTGGAGCCAGCTGCCTCTGCTAACCCTGAATACAGGTGTCTGGCTGGGTGTCAGGCTATTAGACCACATGCAAATGGCAAGTGGCTCTCTAGGAAAGAAATTACTGCTGCCCCATGTTTTCCCATGAATAGCTATCAAACTAGGCTACAAAAGGAGATTTCGATCAGCAGTAGAGGATCTATGGCTTCAGGGGTATCAGAAGCTGGGAACTCAAAGGGGACACATTTTTCCAGAAAGAAATGGGTGGTATAAGAAGCCTCACTAAATTTTGGAGAAAAGCTAACCATCCCATCTGTGTGGTTAGGAGAGATGAACTAAGAGCACTGCCCCCATAAGTATATCCTTAAGTAACCAGAAGTTGGGGACAGGGAACAGGGATAGAGAACACAGAACTGTTGATATGATTCTAGTCTCTGTTTTGAATTCAGGCAAGGAAGCTATGTTAGAAAATTCTGTACCTATGAAATTTTATTTTTATTAATTTATTTTTGTTACAGATGTTTCTCCTTTTTACTCCTCGCCTCTCTCCTCTGAAGTTTGTCAGTCTGAACCATACTCCTTTCTATGTCTCTGGGTCTATTTTGTTCATCAGGTTTTTCTGTTCAGTATATGCCACAAATAAGTTAGATTATGTGATATTTGTCTTTCTCTAATTGGCTTATTTCACTTAGCATAATACTCTCCAGGTCCCTCCATGTAGTCTCAAAGAATACGAGATCTTTCTTTCTTACATGTAGCAGCCAAAATCTTTAAAACTTCATTAGGAAGATAGCCTTCCTCATTGTGTAATTGCTTCTCCTGTCTGGGAATAAGTTGGGACCCTTTACTAAATTAAAGGCCTTACAAATGTTATAGGGAATCCTCTGATTTTACGGGGTAATCTTTGTTCTGTCTTCTCGGAGGAGATTCCTCAGTGCGGTACTATAGGACCAGAGCTATGGTAGTTGCAAGGAAACCTCTCACAGCTTTGCAGTGAAAGTGGGGATTTCTTCTTAGTCTGCTTCCCCAAAATTGGATTTTTTAGGGGGTTGGTGGAGTTACTTGCTAAGCTACTAGGAACCTAGAACACCTGGTTTTAACTACATCTTTCAGTTTGATGAGTTAACAATTAAGACAGATTGGTCTGGAAGACTTTAGAAGTTTAGAATGCCTTTCAAAGATGGGGGAGGATCTGAAAATGAGGGTCAAGTTGGGAGCGTCAGGTATTTGTGCATAGTCACACTTCCTAGCCCAGCCCATAGGACCTTCTCCATGACTGACCCATCTGAAGTAGTCTGGTGACTTGACAGGTAAGGAAAAGGACTTAGAATATAAAATGCTTTAACCTTTTCAGTATATAAAAACTATGATGATCTGCTAGTGAAGCAGCTTGGGAGATGGAACACTTGTGACTTAGGTTTTTCAACTGCATAGTCCCTTGCTTCCTTTGCCCACCCACATTTTGAGGTATTGTCATTCACTGAATCTGCACCATGCTCATGCTGCACGCCCAACGGTATATTGTGTAACTGTGATAGAAAGAGCATGGGTGCTTGATAGAGTCCACAGATGCAGGTGAAAATTCTGGTTACCAGCTGTCACTAGTAAAGATTCTGGTTACTAGCTGTGGCTTTGAGCAAGTAACTTTTTAGACTTCAATTCCTTATCTGTGTGGAGGGTGGCTGAGCCAAAATTGGTGATAATACAATGTGCTTTTTAGATGTATTATGAAGACTAATTAAAAGGAATAACAGCCCTGGCTGGTTTGGCTCAGCAGTTAGAGCATTGGCTCACAGACCGAAGGATTAGGGGTTTGATTCCCAGTCAAGGGCACATACCTGGATTGCAGATTCAATTCCCAGCTCTGGTTGGGGTTGTGTGGGAGGCAACCAATCGATGTGTCTCTCCTATACTGATGTTTCTCTCTCTCTTCCCCCCTCCCTCCCTTTTACTCTGAAAATCAATGGAAAAAGATCCCTGGGTGAGGATTAACAAAACAAAAAAGAAAGAAAAGGAAATAATATTTGTAAAACATCTAGAAGCACATCTGGTACACAGAAAATCTATATTGTTGATATTCATATTACTTTTACAGTAATGTAAGTGTAGCTATGAAAAAGATTATAGTATTGCTCTAACAAAATTTATTTTTAAAACATAGTTTTAATTAGCCTTTGTGGAAATTTACTTCAACCCAAATAAATATAGAAATAAATAATTCTCTGTAGAAATATTTGTCTCTCACCTTAGTTGCTTCATTGATCATTTGGAACCTGGTGCTGTCTTTGCCTGTTGTGACTGAGTCTAGTAATGCCTGATAGGTGGTGGACTTCTTGGAGAGCTGCTGTTTCTGACGCCTACAGGTGCAAAGTATACAGATGTCTGAGAATTATTTGTGACTGTCAGCATCCAATAGACTATATTACCATGGGGAAGTCATTAAAATTTACTATGATGGTAAGTGCACTGCACACAGACAGTATTTGTATACCAATAAAGTACTAACAGGAGTACTTTGTTATTAAAGTGCTAATAAAATTAGTAATAATAAGAAAAATACTAATAAAATTGTTCGACATAATACTGCTCAAAGATAGTGTTTTGTCCCTTTTATTGAGAAGGTGGGGCAGTTTTCATAGATGATTTTTATTAGCGTATTAATTTCACTCTTTCTTTCCATGAAATGTACAATTTAATAGAAACGCAATCATTTCTAGTGGAAATCCAATATAATCTAGTGGTTTAACAGGGTGACCAGGAGTTCACTGCAGAATTCCCTCTAAGGTACTTGTTCAAATTAAAATGATACAATTTCCTTCCTCTAGAGCAGTGTGAACAAATTAGAAAGTTGTAATATATGATGCAATTTTTGCTTTCAATTTCAGGATCACATAAGGCTCTAGGGAAACAGGCAATTTTATATAGTGGTGATGGAAGTACAAAATGATATAGTCCCTATGAAGGGATATCTGGTAATAGCTAACATTTCAAATACATTTACTCTTTGACCCAGTAATCCCACTCTGGGATACTCATCTTATAAATATATTTGCATGTGTAGGAAATGACATATGTATAGCTTTTCATTGTGGTAGAGCTATTATAGAAAAGCAATCCCAAAACCTAGCAATCTAAGAAAAAATGAACAAATTACAGTACATCTACCCAATGGAATACCATACAGCTATAAAAAAGAGAGGACAATCTCCATATACTCGTGCAGAGATCTTGAGAATAAACCATGAAGCAGAAAAAAAAAAGTGGGTCTAGAAAACTACTTGGTGTAAGAAGGGTGGTGATATAAGAGTATATGCAGTCACAAAAAGTACTGGAAATATAAGTAAGAAATTAATAAATCTGGTTACAAGGACAAGATGTGGAATTGGGTGGAAGGGAACAGAAATGAAAAGAATACTTTTCAATGTACATCTTTTCATATTATTAGATTTTTTAACCACATGAACTTATTATCTATTCAATAACATAAAATTTTAACATCAGTTTAAAAAAAACTTTGACTTTTATTTATTTATTTATTTTTATCCTCACCCGAGGACATTTTTTTTTGTTCAGGTAGAGCGGGAGGGAGAGAGAGAGAGAAACATCAATGTGAAAGGGACACATCGAGTGGCTGCCACCCGCACGACCAACCAGGGCCGGGGACAAACTGCAACCGAGGTAGGTGCCCTTAGCGGGAACCGAACCCGGGTATCTCGGGACCGCAGGCCGACGCTCTAACCGCTGAGCCAAACCGGCCAGGGCAAAACTTTGACTTTTAAAATAAACTACTTTTTTAGTAAAAATTTTATTTATTTATTTTTGGTTTTTTTTCTTTTACTGAAAAATTTAAATACTAGAGTAGTAAGTATATAAAGTTAAAGGCAAATGTCTGATAAATTCCTTAATCACTGAATTTCCTAATTGGCTCTTTCCTTAGAAAGCCCAGTTCTTAAAAATGTATTAAACATAAATTTTGAAATGTTGTCAGAAATATTTTAAAAAATTTTTTCTTGATTTTTTTTTTTTTTTAAGAGAGAAATAAAGGTAGAGGGAGAAATAGAAACATTGATGAGAGAGAACATCGACTGGCCGCCTGCTGCATGCCTCTCAACTGGGGATTTGGCCCACAAACAACTTGGGTATGTGCCCTGACCATGAATTGAACCAGTGACCTCCTGGTGCAGGGATCGATGCTCAACCACTGAGCCACACCAGCCAGGCTGTCAGAAATGTTTTGATCTAAGTAATACATTTCCTCTCCTTACCTATAGAAAGCAATCTTGCTGCAGTCTTTGAAAACGTTTTTATCCTCAGCTTCATCTTCAACACTAAATAAGCAGACATTTTAAGAAAGTTATTTTACATAGGTTTTGTGAATCCAATTTTTGTACCTTCTCTAACTACTGCACGAACATAGGAAGTAAACCTCTGCAATGCAAAATTGTGCTGTGGCCATAACATAACACAATAACATGTGCTGTAGAACAAGATATTTTTAAAAATCACTCAAGGTAAAGAATAAACATGAAGTTCTGAGATTACTCTGAAAGCAATAGAAAAAGAGCACTGTCATTTACGAGAAAGGGTTCTGTTAAAATAATGAGTGGAAAATGGTGATGGAAGGAGACTTGGCTTGGGGTGGTGAACACACAAGACAATATACAGTTGATGTATTATATAGAATTGTACACCTGAAACCTATATAATTTTATTAACCAATGAACCCCAATAAATTCAATTAAAAAAAATAAGTAAAATAAAATAATAAGGGAGTCCATCACTATAACCATAAAATCTAGGGGAGCAAAAACAAACAAAAAAACCAAATCAAACAAGAAAACAATCCATTCGTTTATTTATTCAACAAAATATTTTCAGAATATTCTTACTGAGTGCTGGGCTCTGAGGAAGATTTGAAGGATGGTGTCCATGATTTCTGTGAGAACCTAACCAACAATCACAAATCAACCTGACAAATGCTACACAGAGGTATGTGCAAGGTGCCAGAATTAGAAAGAGGTATAAAAGAAAAATCATTAACTTTCTAATATGATGTTGACAATCTAGGTGACAGTGCTTTTTAAAACCAAGTTTCCAGAAAAGATGTTTCTGGAATAGAACATGAATAAGATGTATGTATACTGCTATTTGAGATTATGTATTTAACATACTAAAACAACTACAGGGTATAAGGTGGGGGTGGGTCAAGGGGACACTGGCTTTCACACAGAGGTGTGGCTGAATGCAGCTGTAGTCAGCAAGTCCATGATTAAAGCTATGATTGAACACCAACTGCAAAATATGAAAACAAGCCCAGACAGATACACTTGGCCATACTAAAAAATGGTTTATCATGGAAGTAATCAAATCCTTCATTGACTCAGTCTTTGTTATTGTTTCTTTTAATCAAGTGTGCAAAGATTAAGAAATTTCCAGTCTCCTCTTTCCAGCTTTGAAGAATGAGCTCTGGAAAAATATGGGAAGAGGTGGACATAGCCGAACTTGGTAAGCAACATGCTTAAAATTTATGTGTTAGCGTTCTGATCACAACTTTTCCAGTTTTGTTAACTATCCTCAAAGTATTTTATGAAGGTCTAGCTATTAATATCAACTAATGGGCGGGGGGGGGGGGGGACTGAGGGAAAAAAAGATAAAGACTAAATGCACACATATAAAGCATGCAATAAGAAATGCAATCAAACAATAAAACCCTCAAAGCCAGAATGTTGCTGGCAGATATTTTAAGGTACTATATATACTGTTTGCCTCCATGGGCCCCGAAGTCAGTCCCTGACGGATCACTGGGTCTTTACCTGATTTCTTTTTCGGATACTTCCATGGCTTCCAAGTCACTTGACAGGCTCACAGCTCTCAGTCCAAGTCCCTGGGCGATCTTTTCAAAACGAGGATAGGCTTCTTTCTAAATTAACCGCCAGCACAATACCATCCTCAAGTTTCTGGGAAACAGGAGTCCCTTCCGGCACTTAAGCAGTGACAATGCGACTCTTCCTTCAGAAATTTCTAGGCCCAAACGAGTGTTTCTACAGGGACTTATTTTATTTGGCAAATATTTCTTGGTAATGAGTGGCTGATGAGAAACTACTTTCGTTAGGAACCAAATCTGTCTCTGCGGCACCGGGGGCGTGTACAGAGTTCTACGGGCTGAGAGCCAGGAAGTACCTAGACAGCCCGCCTGATTGGGGCGAAGGGTCGGCGGGTCTAGCTCAGTGACAGTCACGCATGTATACTGAAAACTGACCCACTTTCTCCCCGTTTTAAATTTTGATTGGGAAGTGCTGGCCAGGTCTTTGCTGGAGCTTTATGTTCTCCTTCCAAACCCTACAGTAGTGTCCTACTTTTCAGGGTCACAAGGGGCTTTTGAAAAAGATTAGCTATTACACTATCTAGTTTAGGAACCGCTTACATTGCACCACCGCCAAATTCCAGTCTTTAATTACCTCCAGACACTGAGAACTCACTACCAGACCCCAAAACCCCAAACAGGCAGGCAGACTGCTACGGCTTTCCCAGACTTCTGGCCCGGAGTTCTGACTTTGACTTGGGCGGGATACAGGGCTGGAGCGCACAGGAGGAGGAGAGAGCCAAACGCTACATGGGGTGCTTGCCTGGTCCCCAAACCCTTTAAGGACTGGGAGAGAGAAGAGTCGAACGAGGCAGAGTGGCTTTTGGAGTTCGTCCGAACTGGACAAGGTGACCAGGTTATGACAGAACGACGCTTGCGCAGTTTTTCCAAAGCCCCGCACCAAGGGGTGATGACTTCAGGAGGGAGGGGCCGCTGAGTCGCAAAACAAACAAGCCTCGCGAGGTTTCCAGGGCCCGGATGATCCGGCCCCCAGAGCAGAGCCGGAAGAGGGCGGGACGAGCCGGAAGAAGGTGAAATGCTTTGGGTTGGCACTCCGTGGCTGTGAAGATGGCGGCGGTTGCGTGGCTTCAGGTGCTGCCTGTCATTCTTCTTTTGGGGGCCCAGCCGTCCCCACTGACGCTTTTCGGGGTAGGTCCGGTACCCGCCGCTGCTGCCGATCGATCCAAGTGGCACGTTCCGATGCCGTCGGTGAGTGTTCCGAAGCTGAGCCTGCAGGAGCAAGGGGTGGGGCTACGGCGGCCCAAGGGGTCCATGAGGGTTTGCAGAAGTCCTCTTCCAAAGGGGTGGGATCGCTGGGAGTGTCCTTGTCGTTGGTTAGCAGGGACCCACCTCCCGCGAGCGGAAAGCCGTGAACTTCTGTGGGTAGCTTAGCAGGAATGTCAGGGCCCCGTCAGGAGTGGTGGAACGGTTTCTTAGCAAAGTCAGAGAACTTTCAGTGCCTGACTTGAGACAGGTAAACTTGATATATACGAAGAGTTTCTCTTCCCGCTGAAGTTTTACAGAACGGGCGTCTTTCTTCCCTTCTGCACTTTTTTGTTGCTGCTTACTTCTACTTAAACGAAGTTGCAATGGTTACTCTAAGCTTTGCCGTGTGATTAGGAAGCTTAGGCATTAAAAAAAATGTATTCTAATATGAGAATGGAAGAAATGGTATCCTAAAATTTGATATGGTATGGCTAGTCTTTCTTTTGGGTAATTAACTACATAGATAAGTTTACCTTTTCTATCCCCCCCTCCCAAACTTCATTTGAGTAAGAGCTATCGTCCTGTGAGCAGACAAAAATCAGATGTAGGCAGTAATTGCCGAGAAGTATTTGTACTATTAAAACCACGGTGGCCTTTTTGTTTCATTCTGCTCGGCTCGCTGGTTGGAATGTCCAGAACGTATTTGAGCTTTTATATAGCAAGCATTATAGCTTTTGTTCATTTGGTGAAGATCTTAAGGTTCTCAATTTGAGGTATTTACTTCTTACTTAAATGAGTTAAATCTGACAATCTTCTCATAGAATAGTTTTTGTTTTTTGTTTTAAGAAATGATTGGTTATTCTGGCCAGTGATGAGTGAGTAAAGGGGATGAGCTGATTAAGGAGTACCTCCTGTGACGATTTAAGTTGGGACTTAGAGCAGCCTTCCTTCTGGAGTCCTTGCCTCATGGCCTGTGGGGGGAAAATCATGTCGGTACCAAGCTTCAGAATTCTGCAGTTTGGATATGGATATGGTGGAATTTTACTAAAAGGGAGGTTTTTGATGCCTTTTTTTGTTAAGAAAATGAACTTGAACATTTTATAAATTTAAGTTTTTATACTATTTATATTCTGTCTTGAGAATTAAAGTGATCTCATGCTAATTACCTTTCTCTCCTTTATGTTTGCAGGGAAAAAATTATTTTAGTTTTGGAAAGATCCTCTTCAAAAATACCACTATCTTCCTGAAATGTGAGTTTTTGCATTTCATGAAGTTTTTGTTTGAGTTTTTGAGTGATCTTTAAACTTTTAAATGACCTATCTTCTACTTCTGATGACTTACGCTCAACATAAGTTCTGAAATTTAATAGTCTACTATCTAGGCATAATTACTAAGGTCCTTTCACTGAATAATCTTCAGAATACTTGCTTGTGTGAACTTTACTTTCTTTTGTTTTTCTGGTGTTTACTGTATACAGTTGGCCCTTGAAAAATGAGGGGGTCAGGGGCTCTGACTCCTGGCACAGTAAAAAATCCATGTATAACTTTTGACTCCCCCAAACCTTGTTGTTCTTTGCTATCTGTGGGGGATAGATTGGTTCCAGGACCCCCTTACAGATCCTAAAATCAGAGGATGTCAGGTCCCCTATATAAAATGGTGTAGATCAGTGCATACAGTTGGCCCTCTGCATCTGTAGACTGCTAACTGCTGATGAAACATTACAGGTATTTATTGAAAAAAATCCATTTATAAGTGGACCCACACAATTCAAACCATGTTATTCAAGGGTCAGCTGTATAGTTGGTTGATTGCCAGCATGGTGTTTTAATCTTTTCTGAATTACATGTGTATAGATACTACCGATTTTGCTTTTGTATCCCTGTTAAATGTTTACTGAACACATGAGATCATTCACTATGAATGAATATGTTCAGTAAATCTTTTGTTTGCAAAAGGAGTATTTTACCCCTTGGATCTTTGCAAGAGGAAACTCAAAGATATTCTTTATCAGGAAATAGGGCTTATGTAGAACAAAACCAGTCTGTCCAGTTGGAAAACCACTGTTTCTGAATCCAAAATATCTCATTGTGCATTAAAGAAAAGCTTCCTTTTATTTCTGAAACTGGCTTTATTTTAGAGAACATGGGCAGCTCTATTTCACGATCAGGGATAAAAATCTTAAGTTATCTATGTGTTCTTCTATGCATATTTCTCTTCATGAAAGTGCAAAGTTGCAAGTCATAGTTTGATGATTATATTCTTTTTATCATTTAGTGTAAGTAGTTATTATATAAACTTACTCTGTGCCAGGCACTGTTTGAGACAGTAGGGAAGTGATAGAAAAGGACCATTCTTTTGTTGCGTTTACTGGGGGTGAAGGAGGCAGGTAGAATTTCTGTGAAGAATATACTGTGACAATATAATCTCCTGTTTAGTGACTTAAATTTTACTTAAATCAAATCTACTCTGACACAGTGGTCTTTCTTATGAGGTTGGTTTACTACATAAGAGTAGCTTTTAGGGGTAGCATTGTTTTGTCTTTTGTCTGACAGCCTGTAATGCTCTTCTTTCCTTTTATTATGCATAGTCTTTTCTCATCTGTATTTTGACCTAATAATGTTTTGCCAAGTTACACAAGGTACATATTTTGATGTGTCTACATTTTGGTTTTGGAGGATTTGCAGCTCCTTAACATTTACATTATCTTTCACTTTTGTGCTTTCTCATATTTACCTTGTCTCTGATCTTATGTTTTTGTGGGCATGTTATGCAGCTTTCCATGACATTGGCAGAACCATTTTCATTATCTCTTAAAGCCATCCATTCAAAGTTTTAACTGGTGCCTTTTAACGTAAATAGTATTTTTGCAGCCAAGTTTCCCTGCAAATCTCCTGTTTAGGAGCACTTGTTACTGGCTTTTACTTAATCCCATCTCTATATGGTTCCTCTGATTTATTCACAGCAAGGTTGCAATATCCTTTTTATCATGCCCATAAATTCTGTTCACATTAGATTTTGGTGTATTTTAATTGAGCCTTGTAAAAGTGTGTCATTTAAACATTACTTTGAGAAACAGTTTAAAACAAAGAAAAGGGAAAGGATATAACTTTAGGTGTACTTCTTTTGCTAAGAACAGAAAGTAGGTTCCTAGATGTAGTCGTGTTTGCATAAAGTTGGTATCTCTAGCATATTTTCCCTTGTACAGCAAGAATCAAAGATAAAAGGTAATACCGACTTCCTCCAGTGAGACAGTGTGCTTCTTTTGCTAAGAACAGAAAGTAGGTTCCTAGATGTAGTCGTGTTTGCATAAAGTTGGTATCTCTAGCATATTTTCCCTTGTACAGCAAGAATCAAAGATAAAAGGTAATACTGACTTCCTCCAGTGAGACAGTGTGCTTCTTTTGCTAAGAACAGAAAGTAGGTTCCTAGATGTAGTCGTGTTTGCATAAAGTTGGTATCTCTAGCATATTTTCCCTTGTACAGCAAGAATCAAAGATAAAAGGTAATACCAACTTCCTCCAGTGAGACAGCTAATCAGTCATACAGTCAGATTTAAACCTAATCTTCAGACCAATGCCCTGGTTCATTAGAACACTGTGTTCTAGACTATGTTTAATAAATTATATGAGGCTTTTATAATTTCATAAGGTTCTTTGAGGCCTCTTTTAAGGTGGGTTTTGAAAAGAATCTAATACCCTATTATTTTTGCTTTTGTTATTTCTACCTTCCCAATCTTAATATCTTTCAAGATTTAAGCCATGAATTTTCCCCTCATTAGAACTACTTGGAATATTGCCTTGTGATATTTCTAATGTTGTTATTCCTTATCGCTCCAACTAGAATGTAGCCTTTTTAAGGGCTTTAGTAATTGGTTCCCTCCTATTTCCATCTTTGGCCTAACACAGTGCCTTGTAGTATTGTATTTAAGTGCTTTGTTCAATAAATATATGAATGATAATAGAAGACCGGTTTTAACTTAAGACTGCTTTATTGTATCCAGTTTTTTCCCAACAGAGAACCAGAAATCAAGGTCTTAAAGCGTAAAAGTAGATAACAGTTTCAGAGGTTAAAAACTGCTTGACTGCTTGTTCTTTTTGTGGGCAACAGTACTTAATTTTATCTGAAGAATTCGATTCTTTTTGCATATAGTACTTTATTACCTTCTGTCCGGAGAAGGCATGGGCTATGAGTATCTCTTTTTAGCAGGAAGTAAATGGGATGTAGGGTTTGGGAATCATCTTTTATTCACAAAGATTCTTCTTTTGTAGTTGATGGAGAACCTTGTGATGTATCTTTGAACATAACTTGGTATCTGAAAAGTGCTGATTGTTACAATGAAATCTACAACTTCAAGGTAAGGAACATACAAGTACAGAATTTTCTTGGGCTTTAGAAATTATGAGGTCCAAACCCAAGAAGAGTGGTATTATTTTGTATTTTTGCAAATCTCTTAATTTAATGTCTGGTATAGTAGAAGATAGCTGGAGTCTTGTGTCCTTTACTCATTCTGTTGTGATGTTTTTTTGGTTGTAGTATATGCACAAAATATGGCCTCACACAGATATGTAGTTGGAAAAGGAAATAGTATTTTTTAAACATTTTCAGTTAATTGTGGATATTGTTCTTTGATTCTATACCAAGTATAACAAGTGGAGTTTCTTTTTTTTTAATCCTCATCCATTTATC